GTGTATTTATTTGGGCTAAATCATTGAATCATGGTGACAACAAAACACTGCCGTTCTGGCGCTTGTCGGAGCGATTTCAGATACTCTGAAAAGGACTATATGAAAGTAACATTCAACACATTCTTTAAACCACACCATCGAACCAGACCAGGACCAGACCAGGACAAGTGCAAGAGGTGGGTGCTTGTGGTCAGCAGAATTTCTCTCATGAAAATGTTAAAAAGGACATGTTTTTTCAAAACACTTCGCTGGACCAACTGTGGAGCCTCCAGATCCAGTCCTAGCTACGTTTAGCTGGGACTGGACCTGGACCGCTGTATCAGGTCCGTCTGAGCTCTTCTGAATGTAGTTAGCCCCATCAATCCATATTAGTATTGTTTGTCCTAATCCAGAATGTATACAATTCTCACACCTGAAGAAAGATGAGAGGGATTTTTTCAACTTCGTGACTATCGGAAAATAAGCACAGACGAAGCGCGTTGGGGTCCGCTTATTATACGGCTTTGTACCAACTGAACACACAAAATAAACTTCTGTCACTATTCATGCCAAAAGGTTTATTTAATGAGTGCAAAGAAAATAGTTCCCAAAGGTTTTAGTTCACCTACTTTAAAAAAGCGATCGCTTTAGTCGCATTAAAAAAGTATTTTTGTCATGAAAACCTTAACAGATAATTCTGAAAACCTCTGTGCACGTGTGTTGTATGAATATTATATTCTAGCATTAACATTTAAATATGTTGATTGATTGTCGTTTGCGTTTACTGAGTGTGGCTAGCTCCGATAGTTTCTCTCTCAGAGACAGTAGTGGTGTAGCCCGTTGTGACCCCATGGATCTATTATAATATCGGCTGACTGTAGTTAACTAAATGATCAAACTAATTACGAAATGGACAGTACAAAAAACAACTTGATAAATGGAAGTTAATCAGAGCAAAATAAACAAAGAAGGCGCTAACATTGCAATTTAAATGACTAGATAATGTTAGCATAATCCTCACCATTACCTTTTTATCAAATCAAACTTTCTACCAGTTACTGGAAGACCACGACATTCAAGCCAACGTTTTAATTGGTCTACACTATGATCCCTGATGGTTTGATGGTGGAATTTTGCCCCTGGTTTATCATTTTCGTCTAAAGTGACAAGAGGTATTTGATTCATTTTGGCAGTGTTTGTCCGAAACATGTGGGCGGGAGTTGACAGGCGGCGGGGGCGTGTCTTAGTGACGTCATTCAGATAGTTCGCTATAGTACTGTGATCTCAGAGTGAATGAAACCTGTATCCTGTTCCAAAGTGGATACTCGAGACAAATGCTCCTATTTTGGCCTGGATTTAGGTCGATCTTGTGCACACCCGGGTACAGTAACTTCTGTGTTCTGTCTGTACGTTTCATCGGAAAACAACAGAAGTGAAATAAATTAAACCCACGCCAATTAGAGTGCTGACGTACCGCGAGGTGCTAAGGAGAAGTGCAAAGTTTTCACACACCCCGAGCTGTTGTTTACTGCACAGAACTGGACTCACAAGGAGCAAAGCAAAAGCAGTGAAGTGAGATCGATAAGTTGATGAGATGTTTTCGTAGATTTCGATGTATTAATCAGTAAATACAGTCTTAATCAGTTTACTTATAGCACTCAAAGTGCTTTTCCTGTCACCCATTCAGACACAAGCTCACACAGGACCACTCGGGTGGAAGTAGGTTAAGTGACTTGCCCAAGGACACATGGCAGTATTCATCAACGGGAGCTGGTTTCACACTTGCCAACCGCCAGGTCGACCCATCAGACCAACAACCAATAACTTTGCTGGGAGCGGGATTCAAACCACCAACCACCTGCTACTGCCCTCCTGAACTTTGAGCTGTATTTACCAATGGTTTGATCAGTCAAAGCTAATGTATGTTTATAGACATGTTTATGCATCTGTACAATCTGTCTCATAATCTGTAGACCTGTCCTGTAAATGCAAGACAATATTCTATTCTAAAGCCCATGTGACTAAAGACTACTTATTTAATCTAAACAGAGTTGAGATGGCTGTCATTAAAGTTCCAGTTTGGTTACAACAAGAAAGATGAAGAAAACATATTTAGCACGTTTTCTGCCCGACCCAACAGTCTGAACCAGGGGAAGTCACAGGCACTTTAAGGGGCGCAGGGGAAGTCCTCTATCACAGGCACTTTAAGGGGCGCAGGGGAAGTCCTCTGTCACAGGCACTTTAAGGGGCGCAGAGTAAGCAAGACCATCTTTGTGGCATATGTGAAAGCCTGATGCTAAGCATCTGCCTCTGGGAACACCAGGTGCCAGAGCGAGGCGGCTGCTTCTGTAAAGTGCCAAACTGTTGGCAGGACACTTAACCCACATTGCCGAGTGTAAGTCTGGTGTTTTTACAAATGAATGGGGTTGCATGGGCTCATGGCACAGATTAGTTACTTCAGTCAGTCTGATCCTGGGGAGCTGTGGTGTTCACAAAAAGTGCTAAATTAAAAGACATGCTTTATTATTAGTATTATTATATTTGAGTTGACTACTGCATTAGCACTTTGTTCATAAACTGTTTTTAGCTCCATCCACCAGGAAAGTATGGCACAAAAACATCCCTTTGTCCTTTTCTCCTTCTCAAAGTCTTAAACTGAACGACATATTCTCAGACTGTGACACAATGTACAATGGCGCTTTCTGCCTTTACAAAGTAGTTTGGGGAATTTCACCAGACAAAAGACGTCACAATGGATTATACTTCATTAGAGTTGGTGCAGTCTAGTCTCACAGAATGGATCAGGTTTATCTTTTGTTTATAAAACATAAACCTAAACCATAAACATAAACCATCAGGCTGTTCATCAGGTTGATGAACAGCCCAACACACATCCATCACTGGGCTGTCAGTCATTAAAGGGTGACTTAGGGCGAGACAGACAGACAGACAGACAGACAGACAGACAGACAGGTGCACTGGAGTTCAGCTGCGATCCCCAAAATGAGGAGCATGAGACAATTAAATTATACATTGATGGAACTATTTTAAACAATTTTTTTGTTGACACAAAACAATCTATGTGTTAGAAGTAATACCAACGTCTAAAATCCTGATATTTTTTGCAAAAACTGTGCAGCCAAACTTCTCACTACAAAAACAACATTGCTTTTAAATATAGAAGAAACTTGGTTGACATCCCTGTGTTTTGGAGGCATACCAAACCCAGCGTGCTGTGATCACAGCAAAGGTTCATGGGAACTTCCAGAGATGACATTAGTCATCGTACTGGTCACTCAGATGAAGTGTCCACACTATAACTCACCTGATTTGATTCATCGCAGCTCAAAGCAGTGGAAAAGTGTTGCAGATGTAAGTGTCACATCGTAAAGTCCGATGCTCGTTCTATGACACAAGCCGCAAAAAGATGACAACAACTGAACATGAACGCTCTTGATAATCCCACAATTGGTCCATTATTTGCATCCGCAAAACTGCAGTGAGATACCTCGGCGGTGGTCCGTGCAGTGGGGGAGCCATGGAGCAGCCGAGGGTTCAGGTGTCTGAGGCTGTGACGCCACCGCTCTCTCCAGTGTCAGTTTACCTTTCATACATGATCCCTAATCCCACATTGACATACATTTGATGATGTTGATATATATATATATATATATATATATATACAGTATATATATATATATATATATATATATGAATCACTTCTGTCAGTCTGCCCCAGGGCAGCTGTGGCTGGTGTAGTGGTTTATCAGCACTGTGTACTGAGTGAATAAATATTGGCACTTGAAGCGTCTTTGAGTGTTCAGAAAAATAAAACCAATGCATTATTGGTATAATATCAAAGTTACTGCTTTAACCCATTTCATTCCATTGATCACAATAGTGACCGTATAAAAATATCTTAATAATAAGGCTCTAATTTCTCAAAGCATGTTTACAAAATATTCACATTAGTTTGTGAAAATTGTCACTTGACAAAGTAAATATAGGACAAATCTTTTTAGAACACATAATGATCAGGGTGTAAAGTATGTTGGGAGGACGGGAAAAAAGAACAAAACTTTGCGACGGCTGTTTTTCACTCAAACAGGAGCTAAAACTTCTTCAAGACCGAATGTTTGTGCTTGAATCAGAATTGGGGCTGAACACAACAATACCAGTGAAAGGAAATGGACCAAATGGACAGAACGTAAGTTATGATGACGCTATTTCATTTCCCAAAATCAACAGAGACAATTGTTGGAACACATATGGTGCCAAGCCCAAACAAGGCAAAGCTAATGATAACAAGAGTGTCATAATGCCACAGCAAAAATCTTTAATTACAAGAAACCGCTTTTCACCACTTTTGGAAGATGAATCAGCAGTAGCCTCTCAGTCCCAGTCTCAGTCTCAGTCAAGGTCAAATGCAGCTGAGTCGCTCTTTATCGGGGATTCTGCGATAAGACATGTAAACATGCGTAATCTCAAGGTTCACTCAGTACACTCTGCCAAAGTGGATGAGATAAGGCGGTTGGCTCCGAGGCTTCTGTCTGAGACCGGCGGGGTAAAAAGATTGTTGATCCACGTGGGGGCAGTAGACGTCTATGACAACACAAGTGAAAAGTTGAAACGGGATTACTCTCTCTTATTGGACGACCTTGCTAAAATGGATGCAACAATCGTTATCAGTGGCCCACTACCAAATGTGGACGGGAAGCAAATGAAATTCAGTTGTCTGTATCAGCTAAATACTTTCCTACTCAACGAATGTTCACGCAGAGGACTTGCCTTCATTGAGAATTTTAATCTGTTCTGGAATAGGCATGAGCTTTTTGAAGGGAAAGGGCCACATCTGAACACTTACGGAGTAAAAGTGTTGATGGATAACCTTTCTTTTGCCCTGAGACCTCAGCCTGCGCAGCGCGTGCAGCCATCGAAAGGGAGGAAGCCAACTCCAAAAGTCTCTGCACCTCCACCACCTCGAAGGATCTCAACACCACCACCGCCTCAAAGGATCTCACCACCTCCACCACCTCGAAGGATCTCACCACCTCCACCACCTCGAAGGATCTCACCACCTCCACCACCTCGAAGGATCTCAACACCACCACCACCTCGAAGGATCTCACCACCTCGAAGGATCTCAACACCACCACCACCTCGAAGGATCTCACCACCTCCACCACCTCGAAGGATCTCAACACCACCACCACCTCGAAGGATCTCAACACCTCCACCACCTCGAAGGATCTCAAAACCATCACCGCCTCGAAGGATCTCAACACCTCCACCACCTCGAAGGATCTCAACACCTCCACCACCTCAAAGGATCTCAACACCTCCACTGTCATCAGAAACAGCTGCATCATCACCAGCAGAAGCTGTATCATCACCAGTAGCAGCACCAGCAGCAGCTGTATCATCACCAGTAGCAGCACCAGCAGCACGACCACCACCACCAACATCCTCATCCCTAACCTGCTCCAAAGCAGCCACGCCTTCTTCATCTACAGCGCCTCTGAAGCGCCCATCCTCACCCCAGCCTACAGCAGACAGGCCTGTGCTGGGGTTTCCTCAACCACCTGCCCCTCCATCAAAGACTCCCTCGCCACCTCCCATGGACCTGTCTTGGGTCCCCCCTGCCACGTCCACTCCATCAAGAGAGAATGGGGACACGTCCCTTTGTTTTTCATCCCCGCCTTCACTGTTAGACCTACCTGAACACTCTGCAGGGCTAATAAAATCGGCGATGAAGACTATTCCTCTCACACCCATATTAGCTAGATCTAGAGTCCTGTCCAACATTCTAAACCACTCCCCATATGTACCTCCAAAACCACCTAGGGTTTCCAATTCACCAACAAAAACCACCTCAGCCAGTCCCTCCCCTAACCTCATGACCATTCCACCCCCACTTCCCCCTCGTTCAACACCCAAAACCTCTGCCTCAGCCCACCCCGGCCCTAACCCATCACCAAAAACCCCTCCACCTCCCTGCCCCCCTCGTTCAACAGCCAAAAGCCACCCACCTCTCCATCCTCCTCCCCCGCCTTCCCCTTCCCCTCTTTTCTCTAAACACTAGGATGCACAGGGTCTCTGCTTCGCAGCCACTGGCAGTCTAGTTAGAGGAGAGACCCGGCTGGGGCCCTTTCATGAAGCCACTATTGTATTAAAAAAATGACGTGTTCAAAATCCCTTATAAAGATGACCAAGATTCAGAAAGTTAAATTCAAAAAGGTTTATTTCCCTAATACAAAAAGAATCTAAAACAGCTGTTCGGACCAAAAGTAACTATCCCTTATTCTCTATATAAAGTATAAAAGTACAACTTTGAGTGGGCGCTCCACATCAAGTCACACTACTGTCCCTGGTCCGGTAAAAAACTAACCTAACACATTCAAGCTATTCACTATAAGTAAATGTGCAAGGGGAAGAAGGGGGCGTGTCGTATCAGGCAGGTCTCGGGTCCAGGGTCCGGCCTCTTCCATCATGTCTCCTCCGTCTGCCGGACCTTAAACAGAATCATTCACACACTACCCCTCCCTAATTCTATAGACATATTACTTCCTTGAGATAATACAGAAGGCTCTCAAGGCTTCTCCTCCAGATTCTGGGCTCCATCTCCTTCTTTCACAACTGAAAGGATTAGCAGAATCCAGGAATGCCGATCCCCCTTGCCCTGAGATTAACTATCATTAACTTACCCATGCACTTTGGACAAAAATGGGACCAGGGGAGAAGAGCAATACAAGGTCTTTTTTTGCTTGGAAAAAGACAGAGTTCAATTCCGGGTCAATCAAATGCACATCTGCTTTTTGTCTATATTTAATACAACACCACCTGTGCCATTCCCTTAGTGATAACACAAAGAATACATTACAGAAAAACATCTGGAGTTAATCAGTCTAATCTGGAAAATCTAATTCTTGTTCCGTGTACGAATCAGCCGACCACAACCGCTGATACTGAAACTTTGAAACTTGCTAGGCTTAATGTCAGATCTCTTTGTAACAAGTCTTTTTTAATCAATAATTTTATTTGTTCTCATAATCTTGATCTTATGTTCATGGCTGAAACTTGGCTTGACCAAAATTCAGGAAATGAAGTTTTAATAGAAGCATCACCACCAAATTTCAAGTTTGAATCTGAAATACGGGAAAACAAAAAAGGAGGAGGCTTAGCTGCCATTTTTAGAGACCACTTTGTCTCCCATAGAATGTCTCTTGGGAAGTTTTCGTCATTTGAACATGTGTCTTTTAAAATACAACAAAAACAATCTCCTCCAATACTCTTCATTGTCCTATACAAGCCACCGCAGTCATGTCACAGTTTTATTGATAATTTTACCGAGTTGCTTTCAGTTGTATGCACAAATTTTGGTGATTTTAATATTCATGTGGATAATGTTGATGACAGAAATGCAAATGAGCTGAGTTCTGTACTTGAATCCTTTGATCTCACTCAGCACGTAAGTGGCCCCACCCACAGCAGAGGGCACACTCTAGACCTGTTAGTTACTAAGGGGGTGAATATCCATCCATCCATCCATTTTCTACCCTTTAATCCATTTCTGGGTCAGGGGGGTGGCAGTCAGAGATGCCACCCAAGTCACCCTAAGGGGGTGAATATTTCAAATGTAAACGTGGTCGATGTTGCTCTTTCGGATCATTTCTGTGTTTTTTTTGACATGTGTTTCACTAACAAACCACCAGTGGACTCTGCAACTGTACGAAGAAGACACATAAATGAAAATACGAGTGAACTATTTATGGGAATGATAAACTTTGAGAATGCGTCGTATGTTACTGTAGATGAACTGTTTAACTCTGTCACCTCTAGTGTTTTGAATGTTCTGGATACCGTTGCCCCTGTGAAGGTTAAAATAGTGAAAAATAAGCAGAAGGCGCCGTGGGCTAAAGCAGACTCGGTCAGGGCACAAAAGAGAAAGTGCCGGAGGGCCGAGCGGAAGTGGCGCAAGTCCAACCTCCAGGTTGATTACGAGATCTTCAAAGATAAGTTGTGCGAGTTTAACCGGGTGCTACGTAGTACGAGAGAAAGGTATTTTTCTGAAATGATTGAAGGCTGCAGCAACAATCTGCGTGTTCTGTTCTCAACAGTTAATAGATCAACAAACCCCCCTGTTCAAATGCCATTAGAGCTTACTTCCAAACGTAAATGCAATGAGTTTGCTAATTTTTTCAATGACAAGGTTCAAGGCATCAAAAACGCCATGGTCTCCAATCCACAGATAACCATCCAACAACCAGAAAGGCTCTCTGAGCTAACTGGAGATTATCTGTCCAAGAGATAATCTCCAGTTTGAGCTCCTCCACATGCAGCTTGGATGTACTACCCACTAGATTTCTGAAGTCTGTTCTGAGCTGTCTGTTACCTTCACTCACACAGATAGTAAACATGTCCCTTCATTCTGGAATATTCCCAAAGGCCCTGAAAACTGCAGTCATCAGGCCCCTGCTAAAAAAGAGCAGTCTCGATGCCACTGTACTTAACAACTATCGTCCCATCTCAAATCTGCCATTTATGGGGAAAGTCCTTGAGAAAGTTGTCTACCTACAGCTTACTAGATTTCTTATAATCAACAACTCATTTGATATGTTTCAGTCCGGCTTTAGACCCCACCACAGCACTGAGACTGCTCTTGTTAAGGTTACAAACGATATCCGGCTGAACACTGACGCAGGCAAAGTCTCAATCCTAATCCTGTTAGATCTAAGTGCTGCCTTTGACACTGTCGACCATGAGATCCTCTTACAGAGACTAGAGGACTGGGTTGGAGTCGCTGGCACCGCCCTAAGTTGGTTTAGGTCTTACCTTGAGGACAGGAAGTACTTTGTGGAGATTGGAAACTGTGTCTCAGATCATATGGCCCTGACCTGTGGAGTACCACAGGGGTCGATCCTGGGACCTCTTCTGTTCAATCTCTACATGCTGCCGTTAGGTCAGTTAATACGCAGAAACAAAGTGTCCTATCATAACTATGCAGACGACACTCAGATCTATGTCTCACTGACTGCAGGAGAACATGGACCAGTGGACTCACTCCTTCACTGTATCCAACAGATCAGTGAGTGGATGCAAAACAACTTCCTTCAGCTAAACGCAGACAAAACTGAAATGATTGTCTTTGGTCCCCAGAAACAAAGAGAGAGCGTCATCTGTCACCTACAGTCTCTCTCCCTAAAACCTTCAAACAAGGTCAGAAATCTAGGGGTAATACTGGACTCAGACTTAAATTTTAATAGCCACATCAAATCAGTAACATCAGCAGCTTTTTACCATCTAAAAAACATTGCCAGGATCAAAAACATAGTGTCTAAAGCAGATCTGGAGATTCTTATCCATGCATTTGTCTCCAGTAGGTTAGACTACTGCAATGGCCTGCTCACAGGTCTGTCCAAACAGGCTGTAAAACAGTTGCAGTACATTCAAAATGCAGCAGCTCGAGTCCTGACTAGAACCAGGAAGTACGACCACATTAGTCCTGACTAGAACCAGGAAGTATGACCACATTAGTCCAGTCCTCAGGTCTCTGCACTGGCTTCCTGTGGCTCAGAGAATAGACTTTAAAACAGCTCTGCTTGTTACAAGTCTCTCCATGGCCTCGCACCAAAATATATTAGTGACATGTTAGTCCCATATGAACCAGCCCGGCCTCTGAGGAGCACAGGGACTGGACTACTGCTGGGACTCTGAGGAGCACAGGGACTGGACTCCTGCTGGGACTCTGAGGAGCACAGGGACTGGCCTCCTGCTGGGACTCTGAGGAGCACAGGGACTGGACTCCTGCTGGGACTCTGAGGAGCACAGGGACTGGACTCCTGCTGGGACTCTGAGGAGCACAGGGACTGGACTCCTGTTAGTGCCCAGAGTCAGAACTAAACATGGGGAGGCTGCTTTTCAGATTCATGCTGCTAAAATCTGGAACAGTCTTCCTGAAGATGTGAGACAGGCCTCCTCTCTGACAATGTTTAAAACCAGGTTAAAGACAGTTCTGTTTAGCTGTGCTACAACTGAGGGATTTTATATTTGTATCTTTCTTTTTAATGTTCTGTGATTATTTATGATTTTAATGCTTTCTTGTTTTGTTCAGCACTTTGAGTTGCCTTGTGTATGAATTGTGCTATATAAATAAACTTGCCTTGCCTTGCCTATATATGCATTTAAAATGTCAAAAATTATTTTGTGTGTTCACAGAATTAGTAATGTCAACGGTCACAACAGTGGCCGATTGCAGAACACA